AAAAAGGAGTAAAAGAAACAGTATAATGAAAACGGTAAGTCTCTGTTGAAATAAGTAAGAAGACACACGAATGAAGAGGGATTCCCTGCTCGTGAGTTAGGAGATGATCACTGGTAGAATGGGCCTCCTCACAAGCAATAGAGATTCCCTGCAATCCCCTCTGAAGTTTCAATGGCTTTATTCAAAGAAATGGAACAAACACTGCTGAAATTCACATGGAGCACAGAAGACTGCATTGCCTACCTATCCTGACCAAATAAAGAATAGTGGCAAAACAAGCCCAACTTCACTCTCTTCCCCACTCCTGCAAGGTCTCCATAAGCTGCACAACCTGAGCAGAAGCCTAAGAATGACACTGACTATGAGGCACCGAGAGAGGAATGACGGTGACTAAAACCAGCATCACAAGCAGAGAGCAATTCTTTCTGGATCTTACTATTACTTGGAGACTGGTTGCAGGAAATGGTTCTATTTGTGTTGAAATGGACTGATGGAGGGAGGCAGCTCTGGGGAAGAGCTTTCCAGGCAAGGGAACCAGTAGGTTTGTCCTGTTTCTCAAGGGAGAAAGTAGACTGATTTGGCCAGTGCAGATTGAGCAATGTCATGATTTTATTATACTTAAAGGCATGGTCAGGCCCACACTGTGGGGGTCTGCAAGGCGATACAGAGGGCAGGGCACTGCCCTGGCTGTGTGTGGTGCATGGTCTGTTAGGAGTGAGAACCTAGAGAGTACAGAGGAGGCCCTGGTAGTTCCCATGCAAGACTTGGGGGGGGGGAGGGGCTGTAGCATGCTCATGACACAAGTGGTACTTCCTTCAAGACAGATTCACAGTAATTGTAGTGAGGTAGTCATGGGGGTGAGGAAAGGAGGAGACAACTGAGACATGTAACTCATGTGTGACTGAGCAAATGAGTTAGTGGCATTGTGTTCAATGGTGAAGGGAGTGTGAGTGGGAGAACAGCTTTCCAGGAGCTAAAGAAGAGATCACTTGTGATCGGTTGGGGTTGAATTACCTGGCAGTCTCACCAGAGGGGACATTGCCAAGTAGATAATTGTGTCTAGCCATTTATGGCTTGGTAGAACTGTAACTTGAAAGGCATCACCCTTATCCCTAGATTTAGACATGAAGGGAATGAGGAGGATCTGGCAAAGCCATTAAACCATTCTCAGATCCGTTTACTCAGAGTCCCTGGCTGAGATTGACTCTGAGTCTGTTTCATTTGGACTCACATGTCTGTGGTTCTTCTGCTATGCACAAGCTCACTGCCGAATGGGAATGTCTGTGAGGTGTCATGCAGAGCACTCCAGGGATGTTTCTCTCTACTTAGTCTCTGCTCAGAGTATTTCCTCCAGAGGAATAGTTAACTCTTAATCTAGTTCAAAAAGAGTCCTTTGCACCCCAAATCTTCACAGTTTTATCACTTCCCAAATATATGGGATTTCACTGTGCTTTACTTCCTTCCCACACACACAAAAAAATTCACTGGAAACGTCTAATCTGTTTAATGTTTCTCTTAAAGTGCTGGTGATAATCTTTTTTCTGCCAATATTAAACATTTTGATTTATCTTTTCACCATAGATGTGATTAGTGCTTTTTTTTTTTTTGAACCACAATCAAAAACATGGGACTTACCGATACTGTGCTGCAGGAAACTTAACCCATTTCCAGTATTATGTAATAGTATCTCTACAATATACTCTACAATACTGTCTGACCTTACTTAAATAATTTTTTTTAAGATTTATTTATTTATTTGTACAGAACTGGGGTACAGGTCAGAGATGCAGAGGGTGAGAGGATTCAACAGAGAGAGAGTGGGGAGCACAACAGGCAGATCAACGAAGTGCACTGCTAAGGGGAGCAGCAGGCGGGTCAGGAGAGGTCTGCCTCGCCATGTGGTCACCTCCGGGGCAGGCGGGAATCGAACTCATGTGGAAGTGGTTTAAGTTTCTTTGTGCTGTGCTTTAACCCGCTGCGCCACCAGGGAGGGCCTACTTAAATAATTTATATTCACTTTCTGCAGCTATAAGATGATTTCACCCCTAGTTTTGTGGGTTTTTTTATTTTAGGAAAAGTTCACTTTTCCTTGCTTTACAGAGTTTTCAGGATAAAGGAGTGCTCTTGTCAACCCAACAGTCTCTACCCCAAGATAGCAAAAGTTACATCCTTTCCTTTTCTCTGAGATAAAGGCCCTTATGATCATGTCCAAATCACAATATTAAGGGCAATAAATTGAAGACCTACCTTAAGGTAGAGTGCAGGGTCCTCATTTCCCTCAATAATCTCTAGAATCATCCTGTAGTCTTTTAACTCCCAAGGGGTAAATGATTACCTAAAAGCTTTAGTTATTACATTACCAGCTGTGAGAAATTTATCTGATTCATGGTTTAATTTTAACTTTTTTTGGTGAAAAATATCACATACATAAAATCTTTATTTTACAAACCTTCATGAGGTCCCTTACATCACCCTCATTTTCCCATCAGCATCTCTGGGATTTCTTAGACAATGCTGATACCATGTGGTCCGTCTATTCTTCACTCTCACCTTCTAGGTTCTCTTGCTATTATTATGTTCTTTTTTACATAATATATCTTGTCCTATTCAGAACTATCTCTACCATTCTACTGCTTATAGAGTAATATTTCCACAAAGTGATGCCTTAACTTGTGATCGTGATCACGATCTCGGTATTCTTCTGATTACAGATATTGGACAAGCTTCTTGAATGTTCCATGAAAATCGGCATGCAGTGGTTCTGATTTTTTAAGAAGTAGTAATCTCACAAGACTAATGTACACTGGTTCTATGTTAAATTCTCCAGTTTTTTTCCTGAACCTGCTTGGCTTAGGATATAGCGGAAATTTTTTTTAACTGAAAAGAATTATAGCTAAGCTACTGTGTTGGGAATTTTATAGGTTGTCTATTGGTTTCTCAGGTTGATAACTTCACCTGAAATTAATAATAATTATGTTGTTTCCTCACTTTTGATATTTATAACTCCATCACCATCTCCACACCCCATCATGGCTCATGCCTTTAACAAAATTTCCAGAACAAAATGAATATGGAGTGATAGTATTTCTGTGGTCTTCATGACATTACTCAGTCTCCCTGTAAGAAGTGAAAATGGTTTGCTGTTGAAAATAGATACATTTGATAATCTTAACAAAAATTTTCTTTCTGCCCTTCTTTTAAACTTAAAACTATTAAAACATGAAATATAAATTGAATTTTGAAACGTATTTGTAGCTTCTATTGAGATCATTGCATCTTTTACTCCTCCGTGAGTCATGGGAGTATTATAATTTTTAATATTGAAAGCAGACTTCATTCGTGCAAGTAAGAAACAAAGAAGTAAAATGACAAGGAGGCTAGGATGAGACAGATAAGACAATCAAACATTATGTTCAGTTTTAAACTCCTTAGCTTCAGGATAAAACAGGAAATGCCACTGTGTGAGCTGCACAATTTCTTATAAAAATATCTCACAGACATAAGTTCCCTGTGTGACTAACAGTATTGTGCTTGGGGTCAAATAGTATTGTGCAGGGCTTCCCCACCAACTTCCAGACCCATGGCTCTGGATTTTATTATCCTCTGGGTGTTCAATCATATATTTTCTAAACACCTGGTTAAACAGCTATTAATATTAAAATTGAAGCCCAATAGTTGAATAAGGATAATTTAAGAGTGTTATCAAAATGTTGATACAGTTTTCTTCCTATTCCCACTATTTGGTTAAGTTTGAAATATCTCAAATACAGAAAGTTGCACAACAGGTACAAAGAACTTTGGCTTAACCTTGAGGGTGAACTCTGGCATGATGCCCCTTACCAGCACCCTCTTCAGAGAAACATTTTTGTAATGCTTTCTACAAACAAATTCATTCTACATGACTACAAAGAAAACATCAAAGTCAGGTACTTAACACAGGTACCTTACACCCCTGGCCCCAGGGAACCCTGTGGCCTTAATTGACATCAGCTGTGGAGCAGCTCACCTTGACTTTGGTCCAGCCTGTCCCTGATGACATTGAACACAGCTGCTCAGCAGACAAAAGGGAAAGGTAAGAGACTGCACATACCTTTGACCCAGTTCAGCAAAGATGAAAGTCTGGCTTCCTCCCTACCTTCACTACAAAGCACTCAGGTAACAAAAATTCCTGTGTTTGATTGAAGTAATGGACATACATTCCCAGTTAAATCATTGAAAATACTCATTCTGGGCCCTTTCTGGTGGTGCAATGGGTAAGGATGCACCGCAAGCTAGCTGCAGCCACCTCCCCATGAGTTCAATTCCCAGTCCCGGAGGTGACCCACATGGCACGGCAGACCTCCCCTGAACCGCCCTCAGCAGTGTATTTCAGCCACTCTGCCTGTTCTGCTCCCCACCTTGTCTCTGGTGAACCCTCTCAACCCCTGTACCTCTGGTCTGTATCCCAGTTCTTGTACACGTAAATAAATAAGTCAAAAACTATAATTGCTATAACATAGGCTTATAATATTATATAGTTTCAGGGGTACATCTATGTATAACTTTATAGGACACATACCCACCCCAAAAAGGTCTAATTCCTTATTTTACATATGTCCTTTCTGTTCCAGTTACCACTATTACATACTATATGGTTTTCTGTTTTATTTAGTTTATTTGTTTTTGTTTCTTAATGCACCACGTATGAGTGAAATTTTATGGTATTTCTTTTTTGTTACTATTTCACTAAGCATATTCTGTCGGTTCACCTATGTCTGCTGTAACATAGGTATGGAAATTCAGACCCACCTATTCTTTCAGGAACACAGAGTTGATAATAGTCTTTCCCTGCTCCTTCCCTGTAGATAGCCAGACAGGACTCCCGTGTTACACAGCCAGATTCCCTGGCCAGATACTGGCAGCAAGTCAGTTCAGTGGGTGCTAGCCCCTCACGCAGGCCCCAAAGGGGAAGGTCCACGCAGGCAGGTAATGCACGACTAGCCACAGGATATGAGGCGTCCCTAGGCTTGCTGAGATGTGGGGGAATGTTGACCAGATGCCCAGTCTTGGACTTCGGCTCTTCCCAGGATGAGGTAGATGACCAGGCCTGCTATGTCAACAGCAGCTGCAATGAAGAAGACATTTCTCCAACCAAACTCTGGGTCCTGGGGGTGAGGAAGTACAGGTTAGTAGGGCCTAGTCTTTCCCTTTTGGTTGAGAAAGGCTTGGTGTCCTGTCCTGTTCCCACTTCCAGCTCTGCTCTTTCCAGAACTTTGCAGGAGTGTTCCCCTCTGCTGGAATATTCCTCCCCAAAGAGCTATTTGACTGATTCCTTGCTTGTTCTCTTCACTATCACTTCAATGAAATTCACCCCTTCTCTGGGCTCTTTCCACTCCCTTGTTCCTCCTTTCTTAACACTCACTCTAGCATTCAATGCACTCTGTAGTTCACTCACTTCCTCACTTTCCATTGGCTACTTCTCTAAAACGCGAGCTTCTCAACAACAAGGAATTTGCTGATTTTACTCACTTACACGATATACAGCATATGATAATGTTCAACAAATAATTTAATAGATAATGAGTTAATATATGAGTGAACAAGTAACAAACAGGAGAACGATGTCAGTTTGAAAATTTCCATTTTAAATTTCCATTTCCACTTGTGTTCATCAGTGACAAGAAGGGACTCTGGCTTTACAAAAGGCTGTTCTCAATAGTTGAACATTTAAATTCTGAGCAAAGTTTTCTCTTTCCAATGCAGATACTATACCTATCACCACCATGGAAAAAACAAGCAAACAATCAAACAAACAAACAAACAAAAAAAAACAAAGGAAAGGACTTGATTCCTCCCAAAAAATGAGGAATATATTTTCTCTCTATTCTTCACCATAGTTATGACTTAATGGTGGAAAACCTCAGGAATCTTACAAAATGATATTATGTGACAGTGCAGAGAAATGTGTTCACACAAAAGCTATTATCAATAAGATTCTTAGGACTCTCTTAGGGAAATCTTCATCCTGGTTTAATCTAAGGGACACAGCCTAGGGCAACAGCTGATTGGCCTGATTTTAAAAAAAAAACTAATTCAGGAACAACAACAACAAAAAAAACTATTTCCTGGAAAAGAAAACTATCAGTTCCTACAATATATGTCTCTAACTAGACACGGGAGATTTGAACATAAGTTGTTGATTGCCTTAATGCACAGACAACATAAAATAAAATATTAACAGGATGCCTGATTATACTTCTCTAGAAGAATCCTTGAAAATATCAGATTTTCTATCCTGGCAAACTATAAAATTCGTCGTGAGGCTCAGAATTTGGAGAGCTTTTCCAAAGTTCTCTGGAAGCTATTGCTGGGCATGAATGTTCAGTGTTAATTCCTTATTGTGCTTCATTCCATTTTCTTAAATCAGACCTGGCACCTCATGTATCTCAGACACTTTGCCAGAACACTTGAACAGGGTGCAGAGGAAAAGTCTTCACTTCTATCCGAACTCTTGCAGCTCATAGAGACAGAGGTCATTTGACTCCAGCCTTGGTGACAATCCTTGAGCTTTCTGAGCATCTGTGTCCCAGATCAGGCAGCACATTCTCTGCTTGGGCATAAACTTGTAAATACTTCGAGTTTAGTGTCAACGAACACACCAAATTCCAGAATATATGGGATGCAGTAATAAGAGGAAAATATATAGCAATAGAGGCCCACATCAAAAAACAAGAAAGAGATCAAAGAGACCTAATCTCACACATCACAGAACTAGAAAAAGAACAACAAAAAAATACTCTAAATCCAGTAGAAGAAAGGAAATAATAAAAATGAACAGAGCAATACATGAATTAGAAATTGAAAAAACAATTCAAAAGATAAATGAAACCAGTGGTTGGTTTTTTGAAAAAATAAATGAATTAGACAAACCTCCACCCAGAAAAAATGAGAGAAAGCACAGATTAATAGACTCATAAGTGAAGGAGAAATCACAACATATTCCAATGAAATCAAAAGAATAATCAGTGACTTCTATGAACATCTATATATGAACAAATTCAACAACCTAGAAGAGATGGAAAAATTCCTAGAATGGTATCAACATCCAAAGCTAATAAAGAAAAAATAGAACATCTCAACAGACCAAGTATGTGTAGTGAAATTGAAGGAGTAATTTACTCACTCCCCAAAATAAAAGCCCAGGACCAGACAGCTTCAGATGAATTCTACCAAACATTCAGAAATAAATTAGTAGCTATCCTACACAAGCTCTTTCAAAAAATAGAAAAAGAAGGAGCACTAACAAATACATTCTATGAAGCTAGTATTATATTAATATCAAAACAAAAGACATCACAACAAAATGAACGTGACAGGCCAATCATCCCAACTAAACTAAATCCTTACCAACAAAATCCAACAATGCATCCAAGAGATAATACACCACAATCAAGTGGGATTCATCCCAGGGGCACACGAATGTTCAACATATAAAAATCAATAAATGTCATCTAACACATCAACAAAAAGAAAATTAAAAACCACACGATCATATCAATAGATGCTGAAAAAGCTTTTGACAAATTTCAACATCCATTTCTGATGAAGGTCCTTGAAATTCTAGGGATAGAAGGAACATACCTTAAGATGATAAGAGCCATATCTAACAATGCCACAGCCATATTATTCTCAATGGTGCAAAGTGAAGGCTTTTTCACTGAGATCAGGAACAAGACAAGGATGTCCACTCTCCCTGCTCCTCTTCAGTATAATACTGGAAGTCCTAGCCAGAGCAATAAGGCAAGGAAAAGTCATACAAGGAGTTCACATAGGGAAAGAAAAAGTAAAACTATCACTGTTTGCTATGATATGATATGATAATATAGAGATAAAACCCTAAAAACTCCACAGAAGAAGTACTCAAAATAATCAACCAGTTCAACAAAGAAGCAGGATAAAAATCAACACACAAAAATCAGTAGTTTTCCTATACACAAACAATCATTCTGAAGCAGAAGAAATCAAGAAAACCATCCCTTTTAAAATTGAAACAAACAAAAAATCAAATACTTACAGATAAACCTAACAAAAGATGTAAGGACCTATACAAAGAAAATTATAAGACATTATTAAAAGAAGTAGAAGAAAACACAAAGAAATGGAAAACTATCCCCTGCTCATGGATTAGATACATTATTAAAATGGCCGTCCTACCAAAAGTAATTTACAGATTCAACACTACTCCAATAAAAGTATCAATGGCATTCGTCAAAGAAATAAAATAAACACTGATGAAATTCATATAGAACTACAGAAATCCAAGTATAGCCAAAGCTCTACTGGTGAAAACAAAAGAAAATGGAGGTATCACACTTCCAAACTTCAGTCTATACTACAAAGCCATAATAATTAAAACAGTGTGGTACTGGAACAAAAACAGAAACACAGACCAATGGAACTGAACAGAAAGTCTAGAAATAAATCCACATCTATATGGATAATTAATCTTTGAAAAAGGAGCCAAAAATATGCTATGGAACAAGGATGTTTGTTTAACAAATGGTGCTGGGAAAACTGGACTAACATAAACAAAAATACAAAACTAGACCACTACCTCACACCATGCATGAAAATCAACTCAAAGTGGATAAAACCTTTGAGCATAGACCTAAAACCATAAAATACATAGAGGGAAACATTACAAGACATATATCTCAATACCTTATTTAAAGACTTCACCCAAAGCAAAGACAATGAAAGAAAAGATAAACACATGGGACAACATCAAACTGAAAAGCTTCTGCACAGCAAAACACATATTAACCAAGACAAAGAGACACCCTGTTGACTGGGAAAAAATCTGATCACAAAGATATACAAAGAGCTCACTCGAATCAATGAGAACAAAACAAACAACCCAGTCAAGAAATGGGCAGAAGAACTTAAAACACACTTATCTAAATAGGAATTGCAAATGGCCAACAGACAAATGAAAAAATGTTCAACATCCCTCATAATCAGGGAAATGAAAATCAAAACCACAATGAGATACCACCTCACACAAATTAGAATGGTACATGTAAAAAAAACTAACAACAACAAATGTTGGCAAGGATGGGGTGAAAAAGGAACTCTCCTACATTGCTGGTGGGAATGTAAACTGGTCCAACCACTATGAAAAGCTGTATGGAGATTCCTCAGACTACTAAAAATGGAACTACAATATGACCCATCAATCCCACTACTATGAATCTACTTAAAGGACACAAAAACATTTATTCAAAAAGATACATGCACCCCTATGTTTATCTCAGCATTACTTACAATAGGTAAATCCTAGAAACAACCCAAACACCCAAAACTAGATAAAGAAAAAAGAAAAATATCAAATGGCTTCACTTATAGGAGGAATTAAGAGAACCAAATAAGACAGGGGAGAAAAGTGTATTTTTATTACAATACAAAACACAACGAAACAATACAAAAACAGACAATTATAAGCCAGAGAGATCCTACAGGGGAGGGGGAAGAGAGAGATCAGAAGGAGGGAGGAATGTGGGGCGCTATGGGGATGACGGGAGAGGGAGGGAAAGTAAACATTGTTATAAAATGAACAATAATGTAAATAGATATATGAAAAAATTTTAAAAGTACCACCAAAAAAAAAAAAAAAGTCCAGTCCCACTGAAAACAGGTAAAGGCAGGATTATCCCTTGGGGTGGATATGGGTGTACTGTCTCAGTTGGAAAGATAAAACTTAGCTCAGAATATAGCAAATAATAGTAGCCACCTTGGCTGCCTCACAAGGAAAGGCCAAATGCTCCCTCTGACCCTCATGTTCAATGTGTCTACATGAGGAGAGACCGTGCAGAGGTTGCTGAGACTAATGCTGTGGTGACTAGTGAGTGTTCTCCAGGGGAAGCCTTTCACACATCTTTGTGCTCATCTGGGGCAGGGGTGAGGGTGTTTTACATGAGGGTTGGACTCTGCACTCTGAGCTCCTACAATTGACTGGAGCACTTTGTGGGTCAACCAAGACAGGTAAAGGCCAGACATGCCCTGGGTCACACCAATGAAGCCAGGCTCCAGGTGCACATGGATCCCAAATAAAGTCAGCTGGAAAGCCAGCCAGGCAACCTTGCTTTCCACTGTGGGACATGAGACGTCAAAACCCAGTAAAGCAGGAGTGGCAGGTGACGCACCCCAATTAACACCCTTGCACAGTTGATGGGCACCAGTTATGGAGGGAATACTGGCGATTGTCCCCTTAGTGGAAGGAATTAGCTAAGTGGTACATTCCTTTGAAGAGGACAAGTGTGGCACTCACGAATTCTCAAATTAGTTCATTTATTGGTACAGCTAGAAGAGCTCCTCAAAACTACAACTGGCTAATGGGATAGATATTTCAAATGATACCTACACATTTCCAGAGAAGAAATGATAAGGGCGTGTCTTCTAGAATTAAGACATCCACCATTGTTGGATGTCAGTATTGATATTAAAAATGTTATAATGAACAGAAATAGCTCTGCTGAACAGAGCCAGCTGCCAGTCCCTCAGCACCACCCTCTCATTGTTGATGACTACCAGGCTGGGCAGCTCTCCTTTACCCTCCTCCTCCTCCAGACCCCAGGAAGAGAAATGAATAAAAGCGCAGTAATTATTACTGCATTCCTGAAAAGTCCACACCCAATAATAGGAAAAGTCACTAAATCTCAGACTGTAGCCCTTAGAATTAACTAAGAACTATATAAAGAATTCCTAAAATCTTTCAGCATCCATGGCCCTCCCTGGTGGCGCAGCGGGTTAAAGCACAGCACTGAGAATCTAAAGCCGCTTCGCATGAGTTCAATTCCCGCCTGCCCCGGAGGTGACCACATGGTGTGGCAGACCTCTCCTGACCCGCCCGCTGCTCCCCTCAGCAGTGTACTTCGTCTATCTGCCTGTTCTGTTCCCCACTCTGTCTCTGGTGAAGCCTCTCACCGCCCCTGAGCCTCTGGCCTGTACCCCAGTTCTGTATGCACAAATAAATCTTTAAAAAAAAAAAATCTTTCAGCATCCAGTAGATTTCCTAAAAAAAAACAAACAAAAAAAAAAAAACAAAAAAAAAACTGGAACTTCTCCTGGAGAGCTGGGGTTGTAGTTTTCTAAGCAAGATAAATTAATAATGCTTTGTCCCAATCAAAAGCTAAGGAATGGGAAAGTCAGAATGTGAGGAATTAATGTATGAGGGACAGCTCATGAGACATAAACAGAGCTTTAAGAAATGGGGAAATAATCTTATAAAACTTGAATTTCTTTTACAGGAGAGAAAATTGGTCCAAAATCCAAAACTGCTCCCACAAAGAAGCTGAAGAGTGCTGATTTCTTTGAAAGTTTTGAGGAAACATGAGAAGCTCTTTCGAGTCTGGCACCTGAATCCTTCAACTGCCACCTACAGGAGCCACTGATGAGCCAGGCAGACTCTGTAGGAAGATGTTGGCCGCTCTGGTAAAGTGGCAGGCACTGGCCCTTGTGTCATTACCCACAAACATGCTGGTCTTCTGAGCTGGAAAACAGCCTAAAACATTCAAAGCCAAAGAAGAGACAGCCACGAAAATGATGACGCAGCAAGGCAGCCAAACGAGTAACTAGATGAGGACAGCTCGCCACCTAGTGGCCAGAGATGTTCAACCAGCGATTGCTAAAGAAAATAAAGATCCTTGGGTTAAGCCTGTCAGGTTGCTTGAGAGTCTAACCCTCTAAGCCATCAATGATGTCGTAAAACAATACTACATCCATAAGAAGGTTACTTATCAAAGATTATAAGTAGAACTAAAATGGTCATATTGGACTATAGTAGAGGACAACAGATGTTTTGATTGTGAATGTGATAAAAAATGATATGTAAGTGGAGATCCTATATCTCTGAACCACACGCTGTAAACCAAGTAACTAAGGAGACTGTAAGGTTTGACTTACTTTTCACCACTTCCATTGTGTCATCCTCATTCCTTGGGATTGGTGAAAAGAATGAGTGGACGCTCATAACCCATTTGCACAATTGACAGGTGCTTAAACCATGATGCTCTACAATACCCAGGCCTAGGCCCTCTCAATAAGTCACTCTACATCTCTTCAAGGAATGGGCCAAGAAGGAACATAAAGTCAAGAGATAAAATGTAATTCCATAAAGGAAATGCTTTGTCATGCAATTTCTTTTGTCATTACAAGGAATTTCAAGAATAGTGTGTAGAAGCTTGCTGAGTAGCATGAGAAATGCATCTTCTAAAATCTCAGAAAGTATGAACTCAAAATTCATGCCTTCTCCTGAACTCCACACTTGAATCCGTGATCACTTCCCTTCTCTGTGAAGCTTGGGTTTCACAGGCTGTGAAAGCCTCATTGAGGAAGGCATAAAAATACTCTCAGTCTAACTTCTATTTGGTGACAATACAGATTCAGCCTATGATAATTTCATGAGAACATTTTCTCACCTGATTGATGAAATATCCACTAACAGTGGGAGAGATGGCTCCGGCAAGGAAAGAAAACACTTGTGACAGTCCCTTGAGAAAGGCACTGTACCTGAGAGAGAGAGACAGAGACAAAAAGGACACCCATTGCAATAAAAGGTGACTCTCAGCTCATCTGTTGCAACTCTGTGCTTATCTTTGAGGAGCCTATGGCTGGGCTGACCATCGCCCAAACTTGAATGTCATGTCCTCATTGGGATAGTAAGATCCTGTACTGGGTTCAGAGACTTCCAAGGGGTCTCCTGTACTAACTTCTTAACACTGTTTATGCAAAATATACAGATTAGGACCATGTAGCTGTCTTATGTTCTTTGGACTCTGCTATGGAGACTGGTCTCTCAAAATGCAGGTTTTGTGTATAATATATCTCTCTCCTATGGTTATACAAAATACGTGACTGCCCTGAGAACAAGGTATATCCCACCAATGCTTCCCATTATCTGAGGATAGTTTTGTTTGTTTGTTTGTTTGTTTTGACTGTGAAAGGAACCTGGGAGTATTAGTGAAAGTTCATTGACCCATGATACTGACCTATATCAGAGCTAAGTGTTCCTCTTGCTGTCCCCCACCTTTTGCCTGCAATGCCTTACATGAGCAAGGCTTGTGGACTCTCCCAAGTCCTTCAGGGGCCCAGGCTATCTGCTAACTGATGCCCCACAGCCAGAAGATCACTGGGTGTCTCCTCTCATTGGACTGTGAGTGTGGTCACTGTCTATGCCTGTTTCACTGAAAAAATTAAGTTTAATATGGTAGAGCAATTTGGGTCTCCACAGGAATTAGTTCAATTCTGGATCTGGAACTGACAATTCCTGTGACCCGTGTCAGGTGACACTTATATTTGATCCATCTATCAGAGCAGGTCTAAGCCACTGGACCAGAACTGAGTCTCTAGGAGGAAAAGCAAGAGTCCCTACCGAAGAGCAATATCCGCCATGTTGAGAAAGACTCCTACTGCACAAAAGTTGTGGAAGGTGGGACTTAGTACCAAGAGGGCATGGTGGTGCTGTGGCTGGATTTCGCCCAGGGCAAGGGCATGTAGAGTCCAGTCGAGAACCCCGATAGGAGACAAACCCAGTCAACAGGAGGCACCCACCCTCTGTCCAGCTCAGTGCTTACCAAAGGCAGTGAAGAGTTTCCTGAAAGTTTGAGTCTAGGGATTTTTCTGGAGAGGAGAAAACCAGCCAGGTGACCTCCAAGGATAAAGTTGGGAAAGGCGGCAACAAGAGGCAGAGCTGACATGATCCCACTCTGGGGGAGAGATGAGTGAGGGGCATGTCATCACCGCCATAGCAACATAGACTGAGCTATGGTGTGAGTTTCTAGAGCTGTGATTATACATTATGTGCTCATCCCTCGAACACAAATTCCATATTACTGGTATGAGTCAATATAATATTAATGCTTATGGTAAAAGATTTATCAAATTCAACTTGAGGAAAAGAAGAACTAATTCTTCCTCAGAAAAAAAAAAAAAAAAAAAAAAAAAAACCTGGAAAAAAGATGTTTAAAGAAACAACAGTTTGTACAATGTGCCAGTAATGTGAACACAGAATTTATAGTAAAGGAAAAATCATATGTAAAGATTTAAAAAAAAATTTAGTAGAATAGTAGAATATACATTTGTATAAGCTTATATTTTCATAAAGGGACAATGGGAAAAGTTATGAAAAACTCATAAAAAAAAACTTCATGTGTAGGGAGACAAAGGATTTGGGAAAAGAAATAAGAGCAAGATGTTTCATCTTTTTCTGTCTTTTTATACTTTAAGGGATTTTAAAATGCTCTACCCATTATTGTCAATTCGGCTTCTGTTTTAAATGCTAATACAGAAAATGGAAAGGGAGACCAACCTTTGACTTACATGAACCAAACAATGAAATTTTCACTCTCACCTAGTCTAAGCTGTTCATTTTATGGATGAGTAAATTGAGACCATTAGGATCATGAGACTTACTGGAATTATTCTGAGGGCTATGAGGCGGGTCTCTTGACATTTGGTGTTGGGAAAGCACATCCTGCACAAAAAACTCAGAAAACACTGAAGAACTAGACCTAAGACCTGAATGCACAAAATACAGAGAAGAAAATATGGAGAAACACTACATGACATATACCTCAGTGACATCTTTGAAGACACATCCCCAAAAGCAAAGAAAGTGAAAGGAAGGAAAAACACCTGGGACTACATCCAATTAAAGAGCTTCTATACAGCAAGAGATACATTAACCAAAACAAATAGACAACCCTTGATTGGGAGAAAATTTTTACACACAATACTAATGATGAGGGACTGATTGCAAAGATCTACAAAGAGCTGATAAAACTCAACAAAAACAAATTGAACGGCTCCATCAAAAAAATGGGCAGAAGACCTAAAAAGACAATTCTCTAAGAGATAATGCAAATGACCAACAGGGATATGAAAAATGTCCAATGTCACTTGTAATGAGGGAAATACAAATCATACCACAATGAGATACCATCTCACACCAGTGAGAATGACATGTATTAAAAAAAAACTAGCCAAAGGAAAACTGGGTTGCTACATGAAAAAAAAAAAAAGAAGAAGAAGAAGCTAGATTACGACCACATACCACACATAAAAACCAAGTCAAAATGGATTAAAGAACTAGATAGAAGCCCCGAACCCATAAAATATATAGAAGAAAATACTGGCAAAATACTACATGAAATATACCTCAGTAGCTTATTTAAAGATACATCACCCAAAGCAAGGATAGTGAAGTAAAGGATAAACAGCTGGGACTACATCAAATTAAAGAGCTTCTATACAGCAAAAGAGACAGTAACCAAAACAAAGAAACATCTAACTGTTTGGGAGAAAATTTTTACACACAATATTAATGATAAAGGACTGATCACAAAGATATACAATGAGCTGATGAAACTAAAAACAAAGAAAAAGTGAACAACCCCATAGAAAATTAGCAGAACTAAAAAGATACTTTTCCACAAAGGAAATGCAAATGGCATATTAATTAATTAATGCAATATTAAAATAACAAGCAACAACAAATGTTGGTGAGGATATGGAGAAAAAGGAACTCTCCTGCACTGCTGGTGGGAATGCAAACTCTTTCAACCATGATGAAAAGTTGTTTGGAGGTTTCTCAAACTGCTAAAAATGGAGCTTCATATGATGGAACTTCATATGACCCAGCAATCCCACTCCTAGGTACCTACCCAAAGGACACAAAAACACTGATTAAAAAGGACACCAGCACCCTCTGTTTATTGCTGCTTTATTTACAATAGGGAAGATGTGGAATCAACCCAAATGACCAAAAAAATAGATGATTGGATTAAAAAGATGTGGTACATATACACAAAGGAATATTACTCACCAATCATAAAAGATAAACTCATGCCTTTTGCAACAATATGGATAGTGCTAGAAGGGATCATACTTAATGAAATAAATCAGAAAGAAAAAGAAAAATACCAATGGTTTCACTCATAGCAGGAATGTAAGGGATCAGGGTAAAAAAGCAATTGTAATAAAGTAAAAATGAAAATCAATAACTATAAACCAGAGACATTCTACAGGGGAAAAGAGGGGAACAGGATCAAAATTAGGGTGGGAAAAACTCATGGGACTAAGAAACTTAAAATAGTGTGGAGGGATTAATAAGAAAATGATCTCTGGTGCACACTGAATATGTAGGATATGAACAGACTCGTTGGTAGCAAGTGAGTTCCTGTCTCAAACATGCTGTTGCTGTTTCTCAAAGCCATGAGCACAGAGGCTACTGCCATTGCTTGAATATTTTTGTTGCGGTTCTTTTTAAATTTCTAAACAGGACATTGGTAGATTCATGTGCCATGGTGATCACACTTAACATATTGTCTTCCAGAAACATGACCTGATTTTTAAAAAAATCTCATGAACTTTTAAGAGCACCATCCTTTAATGCTGTCACCAAGAGTGAAACTTTAGGTCCCACTAGATTAACCAGGCTGCACATAGGATTTCAAAAAATATGTTAAAGTATAGAACCTCATACATTAGTCAAAAGTAGATGTACATAATTGCAAAGTTGGAGAAGACTGCCTCCAGAATACTCAGTGTGGCTTTGAAAGCTTTCTGTCTCTGTGTACTTCACCCACTCCTGAGCCGCTCGTGGTCTAAAGTGCTCTAAATCCTCCTTTGGATGGTTCTCTCTCTACTGCAATCAGTATCTTATCTATGATTATGGCACATTCACACATTTTCGTTTGCAGAATTTTACAACATGTTAAATAAATAAGCCTAACAAAAGATGTATTCCTACCAAGATAATATTTTCAATAGTTTATGAAGCAATCCAACTGGGTCCTTTTTATATTGAATTTATAAGCAGATGGATGTGTTGGTGCCTCTGAGTCTTCAGGTTATTTTGGCTACAGACTCAGGTTCCCTAAACTTAAATATGACTCTGCAGTCACACATGATGAGCTCTACACTACAGTTATCAAATAAATACCTATATCTATTAGGATTTGACTAACTGTAGATGACTTGGACAAGAAAGCACACCCAGCGTTTTCTCTGTCATAAAACAACATTCTGAGAGGGAAGAGCACAAACTCACCGAAGATATAGAAGACATAAGGCCACCCAATGGTGTCGCCGACGAGGCCGCCAACGGACAGGATGACGAAGCTTCCCAGTAAGACTCCTGCAGAAGAAGTCAGGTTATTTCTCATGAGAAGGTCAGTCTCTGCCTCTCACAGACTGAAACTCCACAAAGCTGAGTTCACAGGGTTAATGGTATAAGCTGAAATCCAGACGACCTACTTAAATTCCTTTCCTTCCCTTAGTAGCTGAGTAATGGTGATGTAGCTTATGCAGGTAAGGTGGCAGTTACCTGATTGAGATATGATGATGAGCTGAGTCCTTTCCTGTGTGTGGGAGGGCATTTGATCCATGATCTGTGAAAAATCAGTTCCCTTTTTAGTATCTGAAGTCACTTTGGAAACCATATTCTACTCATACTTAGCAGACACCTTTGTACCTGGGCTATGCCTTGGACAACACGAAGGACAATGAGC